ATTGGATTACTTGTTTAATTCATTATTGATACAAATTTTTATTCAATTTACAGATAATAAAATGCTCTTTCGTTTGCTACATCATTGATCAGCCAAGGATTGGAGAGATCGAAAAAGAGATCATAAAAAAGTTTGTAGAGAGAAAGAAAGGAAGGAAGAGTGCGAGAGAGAGAGAGAGAGAAACAAAGCGAGAGAAACACAATTTAATAAAATACATTGTATTGTTATATATTGCTATAAATGGTAATAATTAAATAGTATATTTAAAATAAGTAATTATTTTTTAAAAGGGATTCACTCAAGTAATTAACCCTTTTATTTTGTACTGATTTTTAATTTTTATCCGATAAATAACTTTTTTGCATCATAATACCTTAAAATTTATGTCTTGCGTTCTTAAATAACTTATGTCCCACTAAGCACAAGTTAAATTTCTAGACATAAAAATTAAAGATCAATCCATTTGAAGGGCAAAAATTAAAGATTTTCATTATAAAGGCAAATCGTTCAGTTAGATCTATAGCATCACATCATAAGATGGGAGTTTGGTGATTTACAAGAATGACCTTTGTAAAGGGAGGTCTTGAATATTTGGTCTCGTTTGATATTTTTGTAAGAAATGGCCCCAGCTTAAAAAAATATGTCGAACTAAACATTTATTTCAACAAGTTAAAAGATAGTGAACATGCTCAATTGGCTAGGTTCATCATCACAAGTAAAAAATATATTTATTGCTCAATTGTTCACAAGTTATGGCCAATGGATACTAATTCATTCTACCTATCGTATTTAGTTGGTCAAAAATTATATCTAGATCTTTGAGAATGTGATAGGGAACGTACTTCTCAGTGGTCTTGCACATCGGAAAATTCAAATTAATCAGATCAATAAATTATGAAAGCACCAATTGCAAGAATGGTTAATCTCCTTCTTAATGTAGAAAGAGAGAATGCCCCTCCTCAATATGTTGCAATCAACTTTCACACATCTTTCTTGCCAACTAAAGAACAATACATAATTAGCTAGTATTTTGCATTTTCCTTTTAGTAGCAAACACTTGAAGTTATACCATTTGATATTCCAATTTGTATACCTTCAATCAAGCAGGTGCAATAGAAACTTTTTCAACTTCAATGACATACTCAAGAGTAGCAGATGGAGGAATTTGCAGCCCTGTTCCTAAATCTGCTCCTTCTTCTCCAAATCCCAAATTTGGAGGAATTATCATTCTTCTTTTTCCACCTGCCTTCATACTTTTTAGAACAGTTTCTATACCTTCACAAATTCCTTTACTATAAGGCCTTGATCCCATTACTAATGCCAATGGCCTCTTCTTCTTTCCATCACCACCAAATGTATCCACGAAAACTTGTCCACTGCCTTGTATGCTTCCCTTCACATCTATCACAACTAAGTCCCCTGGCCTTGGTGTTGCACCGCCACCAATTTTCAGTTCATAATACCTGTTAGACGAATATAGATCAATTTCACATATGGAAAACTTTTTGTTTTGTTATCACGTTAAAGTAACTGAACTTTATCATGTTACTGAAATGTCACCTTGATGAGTAAGTTTTGCTGTTATAGGAGGTAAAGTTTAGTGATTTTACTACTATAGTGAGTACATGGATTCTATAGTAGGTAAAATTCAGTTATTTTAAAGTGAGAAAATAATTTTACGACTTTACTGTTATAGTGGATAAAAGTTTGATTAGCATAGTAGGGACTGTACCTTATCCCATTGGGCAAGACCACTTCTTCTTCTTTCTCAACAACCCTGACGATTAAGTAAAGAAGAGTTAATATTTCCTGGATACAATTTTGATGATTATACAGAGAAGAAAACACATGAAACAAATAGAATATGGAAATACCTTGTATTTGTTTCTTGTTGAGACACTTCAAGGCGAGTTTTGATTTGCTCAGAAACAACACCAAAAGCAAGGAAACCAGCCCAAGCAAGTCCAGCACCAAGGCCAAATCTCCTAGTTAAGGAGGAGGCAATCCAATCAGTGGAATCCGCAGAGGTTGATAGGCGGGCAGATTTACTAGGCTTTTGCTGCTGCACATTAACAGGTGATGGAGGCTCTGCAGAAGTTGCACTCAGTGGCTGAGATGGCGGTGAAGTTTGTGGTTGTGGATTTTGATTTGGTGGCTGAGAAGGAGGAGGAGTTTGGGAGGATGAAGAAAAGTTAGTTCTGGTAATTGGGTGAGACAGAGAAGGTGTGGATCCAAAGAGAGTGGCCATGTTTTTTGGATATGAAATGAGCATATGAGAGAGTAGCAGATATTTGTAGTGACTCAACTGTATACAGTTGTAGTAAATGGTCCCTACCTTATCTTTACATGAATCAGTTTTCTCCAGGCATGCTATTTCAACTAAAAACTAAATCAACAATTGACTATTACATAAATCTTTAAATTCAAAAAACAAAAAAGGATGAGGCTGTTCCTCTACTGCTGCAACTGGATAATCAAGCATCTCAAAGTATTTGATGTGGAAGTATGGGAAATGTTCTCAATCTCTGTTAATTACAAAATGATCCCAAAAATGAATTATACATAAGATAAGATGCACAATGTTGAGGACCTGTGGGTTGACAACTGCCAGAAAACAAAAAAAACAAAAAAAAAATCACAACAATTGACTCATCATGAAGTATATGTTTGTTGACAGATCCTTTATGTCTTCCTTTAATTTCTGGTTAAACAAATATGGACCTGTCTTCATTTCCAACAAAAGATAAAATTCCGTTTTCCCTTCTGTCCTAAACATACTATGCTGCTGGATCATCCACGTTTCTTTATGACCGACCCTTTTCTTGACCTCTGTTCCCCAGTGGTTTTGGTGCTTGTGAACTGGTTATAGGCTTTTGCAGTGGTTTCAAAGCAGCCATAATCTCAGCAAATGAAGGTCGTAACTTTGGATCTCTACACATTAAACAGGAAAAGCAAAAAAATCAGATTTTTACATCAAGAAAACCAGAGATAACCTTGTATCGACACGCAAGCAGGTACTATATTTTGTCAACACTAACGGCATGGCTTTCATGCTGAGGTGCTTTGGTACTGCATACTAACATTATATATAAGTGACTCACTTTTTTTTCAATGATAGTGGTGTCCTAGGCCAGCTTGTGTACACTTACTCTCACGGGGTATTGCTACCTCCACAAGCAAAGGTAGCATATAAATTTGCCAATCAAGATATAGACAGATGGAAAAAAATCACCTAATGTTTCTTCTTCTGCTGAGATTTGAACGTTAACCCTCACTCTTTTTACACATACCATTGGGCAGATATTAACAGATGCACAAAAACTTCAGGCACTGCCAGACCAACACGGTGATGGTCACCTAGGTGCCTTGATTACGACCAACAATCACATGATAAACACTGATTGTAGTACTAACCAAAACCATTGGTTAGCCTGACAAGCTCTAAAGGAGTAAAAGATTATGGACGGAGCTCAATTAGGGGCATAATGACTGAAAGATAAATTGTTCTCACGTTTGCCAGCATTTTCGGATGATGTCTGCAATAGCAGGATCCATGTCATCTGGTATGTCAAGACGGCGATGCTGAAATCCAACTGCACCTACAACTTGCATGGGGTTCATTCCTCCCCATGGCTGCTGCAGAGTACAGAGCTCCCATAGTACGACACCAAAGCTATATACATCACATCTGTAAGGAAATGAAAACATTGTACACATCAACAACCATTATACCAAAGACGGTGAAGAAACTCATTGTTGAACTCTCATATTTGTAGTAGTATTGTTCTGATTTTTGCGTTATACGTTGCTTTCACTAATACATATTTATTCAACACTTTGAATGGGGTAATATGATTATTTAAGACATACTTCTCATCTGAAGGCTCATTTCTCAGCACTTCTGGGGCCATCCACTCAGCCTGAAAACAAAAGGTTGCAGCAGAATCATAAGCCAGCAACAACAAGAGTCAAATGTTTGCTCATTAAACTCTTGCAGGGATACATAAAGAACCATGATGAAGAAAATACTGAGTTGTCTGCAGTATTTAGTTAGACCATATATATGTAATACATGAATAATGAAAATTCAGAGAAACTTCTCCAAAGCGACAGTTCCATTACTTAGTATTTTCTAATGTGGGAAAATTTCCTGTGTACAAGTAGAAACATACAACAGTTCATTACCTAGTATTACTAACAAAAAATATATGTTTCTACAAGTGCTAAATTTCTACCCTTGAAACTGCAAGCATTTTGTGCAGCACAGGCTTAACTACAATAGTCATCCAATTTAATTCCAAATAACAACCCTCAACCCTATGTGTTCGAAAATTGAAAGAATTCACCGAGAATCTGAATGAAGCAAGCATATTCTATTGTAACTGCTAATTTCCACAAAATATCAGCAGAAAGGGAAAATTTACACATTGTATATTATGAGAAATGCAATACAGCAGAGTTAGGAGGCGTTTGGCCATGAACAAAAACAACTCCAATTCGTATTCATGGACAAACACAACTCCAATTTTCAAATACAACTTTTCACTTTGAAAACAAAAACCTACTTTTTTCAAACATCACAATGGAACATGGCCAAACGCCCACTTAGCATTAGATACAGAACTTATAAATTTTCTACCTTAATGAATACTATAACCACTAAATAAGACGTGAAGATCAGCAAACAACAGAAAGTACTAAACTATATTTATGCATCTAGGTTTATGAGAACAAATGAAAGACAATAGAAATACGCAATTTTGGCATTTCGGAACTATCTCCATCATATATATTTAGTGACTTCCTTCAAAATCAATAGTATCAAAGAGCAGCAGTTCATCATGTGCGCAGATAACAAGGTAAAACATTTTCACAACTTCAAAACTAAGTCTTGATATCGGAAAGGGCTAAAATATGTAATTAGAAGCCTGGATACTCTTTTCAGATGAGGTAAACATGTCATACATTTAAATTTATTTTTGAACCATGGATCACAGTGACCACCTTTTTGAAGGCGAAACTTGGCAACCAAAACATCTCCAAAAGCCTGAATTGTTTTAAGACCAACAGCATGGAGCTATCTTCTACAAAAGGGCTGATATAAAATGATGTACAAAGATTAGCAGGTATGCATGACTGGAATATTACAAGTTCTATTAATAAGGGCACCACTATGAAATAAAGTCGTGGGAACAAGAAGCACAGGAGAAGATTATCAAGCATAGGAGAATGTCAATTTAACAGCTAAACGAATGTACAAAAAGAAAAAGGAAGAAAGAAGCATGTACTGAGTAATTGAATCAAATCCTCCCGCTTACCGTCCCAGCAGTTGATCTTGAAGATAGAAAGGTGCTGTGCTTTATTTTCGATAACCCAAAATCACATACCTAGAGTCACAAATAGTTGTGTTAAATGGGAAGGTATTGTAAGATGTCATTCACTAGGTTTCAGTTAAAGGAATTCCACCTTCACAACCCAGTTCTTATCCACAAGGAGATTTGGAGACTTCAAATCACGATGAACTATCACAGGAGTGCAATTGTGTAGATAGTTCATCCCTCGAGCCTGTTAGTTAAATAAATAACGTATAGCAGAAAGTCATTATGTAATGTAGAAGGTTTGAATCAATGGAAAAGTTTAAAAAAAAAAAAAAAAAAAAAAAAAAAGAGAAAAGTGGAGCATACAGCATCAAGAGCCATCCTCAACCGTCTCCTTTCATCTAATTGATTGTTCGATCGATGAATTAACCTGTACAAACTACCTCTGCAAAACAAAATATAATTTGATTTCCAGCATTTGAACGGTTATAAATCAAAGCTGCAAATATTTTATATTTCCAAGCTTGGCAATAGCTACTAGGCAACTTAAAAATTTCCTGGAGGACCAGAACTACCGCGAAACAAAATATTACAGTATTTTGATGTACCTATGAAGAAACTCGGTAACAATTGAAAGGTTTGGAGGACGTGTAACAGCTCCCATGAACAGGACTACATTAGGATGCCGGAGTCTTCTCATGATCATCACCTTCCAAGGAAAAATTAAGTTTGAATGAGATTACAATATTCCTTTATGCTAAATAACACATCAGATAAGAGCAATGACTTCTGAAGTTGTTAGTGTAAGAAACAGACTACAAATGGATAAGTGCACAAAATAGATCTGCAACAACATTCAGAAAGAAAAATCTACAAAGAGTAAAAAATGAAGAATCTCAACTGGAAAGGTAAGAAATTTAGTAATCACTTAAGGCTCTGCATCATTTACAGTTTGAATTGGGAAAATTGATCAAACATCAAAGAGCTGAACTCAGTGGAGAAAACTTTCACTAACTTGGATGATAGAGAGGAACAGTTTAAATAAAAGACTGCATCAGCATGTTAGTTGACATACTGTGCGCTTCTTACCAAGAGTTACAAAGTAAGAAGAGCATAGAGGAGCTATTAGAAGGACCACTAGCTGAATAAAGAGTGAATTTTTCCATATAGCTTTTGATTTCTCTTAGTTCAATTATGTAAGCAAGAAAGGAAGGAATCAATTTGGAAAACAAAGTAATGAAAATTTCTCAATTTTCTGGAAGCTTGAAATTAATAAATCTTAACTGAGTAAAAGTTGATAGTGAGCCAGAAAATAAATTCACGCCATTGAATATATTTACATGATTATCAAACCACCCAGAGAGATGAAGGTGACTATCAGTTATATCGACTCTGAGTCAGTAATTATAAATCATGTCATGATTTCCTAGAGTATTAGTTGGACGAATTCAACTTTATTTAAGCGAAATTGCAGCATGCTTACCCATTTTGATACTGGCTCAAGTCAAGTAATCCTTATTTTATTTCTCCATCAGTCAAATAAATTTTTCTTTCACACAAAGATCAAGCATTCTATACAAAAATTTATAAGATGTAATTACACAATTCTTTCTTTTGATATGGTAAAATCCATCAAAACAACAAGACCTTCTAGGAGCCCAGCAGTGGCCCTCTCCAATTTTTCTCCATTGGTGGCTCGAACCACCAACCTAACGATTGGAGGTATAGGGTCTTTAGCACTAGGCTATCCTTCCCTTATCCCGATTCCCGTCAGTGGTAATTGTACATTACAAGCAAGCATTACTTTCTGCCAGTATTCTTGCTAGCTTATAACGAGTTAGTGACTAGGGCTTGCATTAAGCTAGATTTTTTATTCTTGGGTCAGTGGTACTAGGGCATGTATCCCCATTTTAATGTTCTTATTCTGGAATTTTTTTTCCTTTGGCATTTATTCATTAGCTTTTCAAATTCTTTTGAAAGTGTTTTTCAATATATTTTGAAAAAAAGAAAACCCATTGACGATTTAGAAAGACATCTGAGATGTGATAGTAATGCCATGAATTGTAATTTTCAAAACTTCCCTGAAAAACCAAGGGAAAAGGCCTATGTTGGACAAGAAAGGGTATACCTCACTTTTAAACTCTTCAAGGGATTCACCAGCTAACTCCTGGTCTAGGAATTTCTTCACAGCTACTTCCTGAAAATAAGAAGGTTCCATCTATTTGTATCAGTTCAAGTTGAAGACAATGATGAATGTTTATAAGAGAAATGGATTTTTCCCATTTAAATTTGATGCAAGTGAAGAATGACTGAACAACCCAGCTATATCACCGTTGACCCACAATATCTAAACAGTGTCAATGAATCCAGTCATACACTTTTTCCTATGAGGCATTAACATCCAGAATTTAAAAAAAAAAAAAAAAGAAAATATATATATATATAAGCTTTCAATAATGGTGCGCAAAACAGGTTCTTAGTAGTTTAATTATTCATTTGTTTTGGTAAAATGACAAGTGTAAGAAGATTCAGTAACTTCAGAAAGAGTAATCTTTTTTTGAAACTTGGTAACTACTTCAGAAAGAGTAATCTTTTTGTCACTGAGTTATTATCTACAGCTTTTTGCTGACATCTATGTTGAACCAACTTAAAGCAGTCACACATGCCCCTGGTATCCTAAATTCCATATCGGGTATAAGGGTTTATAAAGGTCTTTGAATGCCCTTCAATACCCGGTATGAGAAATTACATATCTCCAACACCCTCCCCACCCCACATGTGAGAGAATAGGTTTATCCAAGAATATGAGGATCCAACCCAAAACCTCAAATCAATAGGTGGAGTATTATTAACTCTTCCACAATTACCATTCTCAGAAGGCCATTATAAATCCTCTTGGAGACTCTTCAAACTACAAGAACACACAAGTATAAATGAAACTTGGCAGTCTTCAAAAACTTCACTTACTTCACACACTAACAACATCCACAAATTTCAGATGCCCATACATATCATTACTCTCTAAGTTGAAGAAACAACTTGCATCTGATAGTCAGATAAGACAGTATGTTCTAGCTTTCAACTTTGTAAAGAAAAAAGATGCAAAAGTTCATTACAGCAAAACCTAAAATGAAAAGAAGAAATCTAATAGAAAAACTTACAGTTCCATGCCACTCTCCACGATAGACCTCCCCATAAGATCCTGCAACAGGAAAGATTAGTAAAAATATAAAATGACGCGGAGTTAAACTACTTCATGGATGCTTGTATAATTGGAAATATACAATGCAGGTCAATACCAAGTCCGATACGCTCACCCAAGGTGATCTCCTCCATTGGAATCTCACAATCTGCGACATCATCAAGTGTCACATCAGATTTCACACTATCATTACCAGTTGACCTATCTGATACTCTTTCACCCTCATAATTCACTCCTAATGCCTCATGCACTTGATCATCACTACCCCGTTTTTCAGGCACAGCACCATCTGCATCTTTATCAACTCTTTTAGGGTCGATTAAATTAAGGAAGAAAGCAGGACTATTTGGTAAGTGAGCAGATGTCTCCAAGTTTTCATATTGCTTAGCGACAGCGGCAGTTGTTGCTACCACTGCTGCAGCTGTGGCTCTCACAGCAGCTGCAACAGGGAGATCAGCATTTGAACCATATGTGGTCTTTGCTGCAGCAGCTACCATTGAAGATGCCACCACAGCTGCTGCTGCAGCTGCAGCTGCAGCAACAGGCATATTTTTTGTGAATTTCGCTGCAGCCAGCTCAGAGTGTGGGGAAACATGCTGCCCACTAACTTCTCCACCATCCAGATGAGGATCAAATGGCCCACGGGGATTGACCTTGGACATGGCATGATAAGCCAAAGGAGGCAAGAAATTATTACAATCTAGATCAACTTGACTCTTGATTTTCTCAACCTCATCCCTACCCTGACTTTCCATATCCTCTGACCTGGATTTTCCCTCCACAGTGGAGGCATCTAATTGCTCTGAATAGACTTCAGTGAACAAATTTGGTGGTGCAACAACACCACTTTCAAGTAAGACATCATGAAGTTTTTGAGCTAGCTGTGGATTTTCTTTAGCAGCATCAATCATGTACAGTGAGACATCCTTCGCTTTCATTCGCCGTACAGCTGGGGAACTAATGCCCTCAGTCCAGGAAGGAGATCTTGTATGTGAATAAGGAGATCTTGCATGCCCAGTCCTGGATGAAGTTTCCAGCCCTTGCTCCTTCACCATACGAAGCTTTGTGAAGTCATCAGAGTTATTATTTCCTTTCTTCTTTTCTGAATTACCTGTAGAGGGAGACTCATTTCCTGCACTGATTTCACCAAACCTGGATTTCCTCTCTTCGATTCCATACTCTGAATGATCTTCTGAAGAACAAGCAACCCCACTACTAGAAGAACCCGTATGAGAATCAACATCTTTGGAGGATGGACTGATGGAGAGGATGGATTCCTCATAGTCTCCCTGTGTTCCAGATGTATCAGAGGGAATAAGTGTGCCAGGGTCTGCCATCAAATCAACAATATATTCCCTGCAAAGCATATAACTTCGTAAGCAAAAGAGGCAACTTTGGGAGGAGTAATTATATGCTTGAACAAACTTTTCCACCCTGGTGAATTCAAATTTATACTCCCAGCAAATTAAAACAGAAACAATCTTAAGAAATAGGAGAAACAGATTATATGTTTCAAATTGATCACCTTGCTACTTTATAGATAAGTTGTGTATTTGACTTGTCAAAAGAGATGTATTTAATAACAAAGAAGATTTATCAAGCACTCTGCCTTGAAAACTTAACATATACCTTGCTCATTGAAATGCTACCTGACTGTATACCAACTATGGTACAAAAACATAGGAATCGGAAATGAAATTAGAAAATCTGAATAAGGAAAAAGACTAAAGGGAAGAAACCTTCCATCTTCAAGCTTTACATAGTTCATTGCAACTTCATCTGAACCTGTGTATTCTTGGCCTTTTACTAATCGACACGGGAGCCCCACACTATCAGCCAAAACCTGTACAAAATTTCAGAAGTACATCAAATCATAGCCAAAAAGAAAGGCCCCAGTTGACCATCATGCCAGGAGATGAAGAACCAAACACAACAGTGATAGAAAACCATAGTAGAATGTAGATACATGAGAATCCAGCTTTACTCATCCTCAGGTCCAAGCTACAGGAATCAGCAAGTCCATATATCAATTTTAGCTGTTTACAATTTTTCACTTTCTTTCCTTTCGTTTTTTTTTTTGGCTCCTTACTGGATTAAGAGGAAGTTTATCATCAGTATGTTTAATTATTTGTTTGAAGAAAAATAATTTACATCCACCATAAATACCAGACATGTATACAGACACTGACACAAACACACACACACACACACAGAAAGAGAGAGATCTAGAATATATTGTTTGAAGGAAATATTGGCTTTCCTTTCTGAAGTAAGATACTTGTCGCCGTTCTTTATGCTTATTGAACAATATATTTTGTTTGATGGAAATAACGTTGCTCAATTTTTAACTTAAGAAAGGCAAAGGCATGGAGATCTAACCTTTCTAACTTGAGAAAGGAAAAGGCAAGGACAGAGAGAATCTTTTTTTCTTAAAGAAAAATCCAAAGACCTCTGCCTTGAACTTTTGGTATGGTCTAATTCCTTTCATGTTTCTTGTTAACTCTTTAAAACATAAAATAATGACCTTTTAGTCGCAAAAATGAGATACGCAATACATAAAGTACTATTCAACAAAAACAAGAAAATTGGCAGAATGTGCTAGCTAATGGGTGTTAAAGGAATAAATTTAAAAACACGAGTGTCTGCAATCACTTCTCAAGTCATTTTGGCTTAAAATACAGTTCAGCTGGATTATTTCTTGGCTTAATATTTTAATGACCACAGCAAAAGTTGATTTTAATCAAATCGGTAAGCACAAGAGGAGGATATTGTCAAATATTTTCTAAGTCATAACAATTAAATGGGACAAACATACTCTGGGTTATTCTCATGCATCAAACGTATGAATAGACATGATGTTTGATATGAAAGGCTACTGAGAAGTGACAAGGATATCATGCAGGAACTTGCCATTGACTCTCCAGAAAAGATGGAGACACATCAATTATGCACAAAAAGTAGAAAGCATAGACGGATTGCTGAACAGAATGTGGGGACATTACTGATTCAATTCATATTTGATTAGGGCACAGCACACTTGCAATTGACATCTTATAAAGGATGGATATAGCACACCTGCATACAACAGCAGAAAGAATGGATGTGGAATGCTGAACAGTATATGGAGACTGCATACTGGATTTAAATAATGGTTGACTAAAGTACTTCAAACAAATATTTGAGAAGCATCCAAATAAAACTGAACTAAACTCACCCAACAGCGTATCCAAGGAACACTGCTGTTGTTCATCTTTTATATGAAGAATGTATGTCCTCTATCTACAAAACTTATCAGTTTTCTCTATGTGGATATGTAGTCTTTGTTTGATAAAAAAGGGGTATCATCACTGTCACGATCCAACTTTGAAAATAAATTACGCTTCATAAGTGAGATAAGTTGATTCAAACATCTCAAGATCATAGTCAGCTAGCCCACCTTCCTTGTGTAAGCATCAAACAGTTAAGCATGAAACTACCGAGTTTTATATATTTCCTAGATAAATAGAAGTGTATTGTTAAAGGTTTTGAGGGTCAAAAAAGCTTAGTACCTTAAATAACAAGGCACGGTGACGAGCCAGTCCGACAGTCAAAGAACCCAGAGGCAAAACCATGCTCCCAAAAGTGGCCTTTAGACTATGACTAAGGCTTCTCCATGCTATTAACATGCCGTCAGGATCACCAACTAAACCACCCATGTGTTCAGAAACTAGCATCGCAAGCTTCTGAACTAACTTTTTATCAGCAAAACCTATGGATTCTGACCTGACCTTAGCAGTCATCTCTATAGCTTTCTGTTCTAACTTCAACAGCTTAGAGTCCGCAGCTCTATTAACAAGGATAGCTTCCCAAGTGATCTGGTCTGCTACCAGTGTTCTTTGTAGATCGATAAGAGAGGGCATTTTTGAGGGATCGGACTCTGTCAGGATCCCATAAAGATCATAAAAGCCATCCAGGATCTTGTCATCAAAGCTTAGAGCATTGTAATTCTGAAAAGCATTCATAAATCTATAATATGAGATAATTCATGTGTTAGAGAAGAGCACGGAATAGAAACAGGGATATTTTGTGCAAAATAAGCATCACGGGTGGATCAAACAATAGAGCAAATAGTAGTCCACAAACCAATCTCTCCAAATGTCAGACAACTGAGCTTTCTATAAAATCTTGTTCTCTTGGAAATTAATATGACAAGATAATAGAGATAGAAAACCTTGTGTTTGAAAAATGGCAACTGAGAATCATCTGCAAAATGGACTCTATCACTAAAAGCAGGGATAGTGCCTACTGCCTACCTTTCACCAGATTGCAGCTGGGTATGACCAGATTTAAGGCTTCCCAACCCACCCAAATAGCAACATGGAAGTAAATATAAAGAAATTTTCAATGCATAACTGCGCTGCCCGGATGGTATCCAAAAGACCAAAGAAAGTTTTGGTTCTTCTCAGGGAACTCTGTTGGAATGTACTCATCCAGTTTGTAATAGTGCTTTTCCTAACTAGCTGCAATTTGTCGTCCAGGATTATTAGTAAAGGTTTGCTTCTTTTTGCTTCTAAATCAATGGCTTCTTTTTTTTTATGTCCACGAAATCTTCAAGGCCAGTGGCACAGGTTCAAACTCGGTGGACAGTGGTCAGCCCCTCTACCTTCTGTACTTAAATACCAGGCTTTGTCCACGGCAGGTTCGAACCCATGACGCGCGCCTAACCTACTCATCATACATTATGCTCTTACCACAAGACCAAAGTCCTGCGAGAACCTCTATATCAACGAAAATGAGAAGTAGCCACTCAACTCAGGTCATTTCCATTTATCTACAGAGTGTGAAAAGACGAACACCATGTACATACTAGTCTTGTCGGGAAAATATATTATCCACTATAAGAAGCATGTTTGTCGCAAAAGATGAGTAGGAACTTCCCTTTACTATGACTTCTCCCCTTAATATATACATCAAGCATGTGCATTTTCTTTTACTTCTTAGATTTTCCATGAACTGAGCATTAGGAGTCTTTTTATTTCGGAAAAAATTTCTTTACGGCATCTTTTATTAATATAGCATATCCCTTCATATTTCTTTTTTGATAAAGGATAACATATCCATGTTTAACAAGGTCTTTACCACACCACATCAGAGCACACTATAATACGAGAATTCCAGTGTCAAAGTGTGTTATATTCCACGCAATGCCACTGAATGAACTTCCCTATAGATAATATCAACATCTTCATAGTTTTGTCATGAGAATTTTATTTTTTTTGATGACTAGGGAAACCCGCAGCCTCTACCCTTTAGGTGCGCATAGGGTAAAACCCCCGCTCCTATGCAATAGCTCGCAAACCACATAGGAGAGGGAACCCGCACTAGGCAAGCCCAGTGCGACGAGCTCGACCCAGAAGGGCAAACCCCCTACTTTCGCTGGCAATGAGTTTCGAACTTGAGACCCCCAACATGGAAGTCCCCAATCCCAAACCACTAGGCCACCCTGAAGGGTTTTTGTCATGAGAATTTTATTTTTTTTGATGACTAGGGAAACCCGCAGCCTCTACCCTTTTAGGTGCGCATAGGGTAAAGCCCCCGCTCCTATGCAATAGCTCGCAAACCACATAGGAGAGGTAACCCGCACTAGGCAAGCCCAGTGTGACGAGCTCGACCCAGAAGGCAAACCCCCTACTTTCGCTGGCAATGAGTTTCGAACTTGAGACCTCCAACATGGAAGTCCCAATCCCAAACCACTAGGCCACCCTGAAGGGTTTTTGTCATGAGAATTTTGAGCTCCAGTTATCTTGAACCCACATTCTATCTAGAAGAATGAAGACCACGAAACTAAGCAATTGATTTGGTATTAGCAGGGATGGAGCTAAGGTACTGGAAGGGGGTTCATTCAAGCCCCCTTCATCGAAAAATTACATTATATATAAAGTCAAAAACACTTTTATATATATAGTTGATATTGACCCTCTTGACTTCTTCGTATATTTACTCCTTGAGGAATGCCAAGTATAATCAACAGCAAAATAGTGACACCTATCATTATCATTATATTGACAACAATGGCACTATAAAGGCTGAATTTGCTTAACCGCAATCGCTAATTAGAGGCATGTTGCAGCATCACTTAGCTGAAACTAACTGTTAACAAACCAAAACAATATAATAAACATGATCACCAATGCATAATTATCAAAGCAGCATGTTGTCAGCCCAATGTGTTGACAGAGTCAAGGAACTCACTAACCTACTAAATTCCTATCTTTTGGTAAAATTAGGTCCCAAAAAAAATTTAATCACCCAAATTGCTACACCTAAATGCCTACTAATACCAAAAGGAAAACAAGCTAAAGAAAAGCAATTAAAAATCAACCAAACAACTAGATGAAACAAACTTACCCAATATCTATAAGCTACAATTTCAGCTGGAGTGTTCTCCGGGGCACACGAGCCTAAACTTATCTGCTTAACAGCTTCAATCTGAACTGCCTCGGGGTCTTCCCTTGCACTCAACTCCAGAGCTAATTGTATTTGATACTCTTCCTCTATATCAGGCCCCCTCGAGTTGCTAGACTCCGAATCACGCCTTACAGCATCTAAAGCAGCCTCTAAGGCACTGCTACTAGCAGAATCAGAAGGTTCCATCCTAATATTCCCTCTACTCACGTTTGAAGAAGATGGAGGACTAGGACTTTGACGATTGGTAACAGAATTCAACCATCCAGAAATAGCTGAAAAGGGCTTATTATCATCAGACCTAGAATTTGAATGTCTTTCAGACGACAAACCGTCACTCAATCTCTTGATCTTAGCTGAAGACTTTGACCCTTCTGAATCCTCTGATTGACTAGAGATATGAAATTTCTTCAGAAAATTTTTCATCTTTCCTTAAACTAAACCTCTGAACAAAGTGTTAAAGAAGTGGAAAGCAGGCCATAAACCTCTCCATTGTCGCACTCCAAGCATGAATCTTGATACACAATAATCACAATAACAACAAGAATGGGGAGAATTTAAGTTTCCTTTGATAAAGGGTTTCAAGTCAACATCCAAGAACTTGACAAATCAAATCCATCACTCAAATTAGTCATCACCCATTAAAGTTTGCTTTATAGTAACAAGAACCCAGTCGGCAAATTCAAATCTTGAAACACAATAAAGAATTCAAATACTCATATATATAACACACATGTATTATGTCAGGAAGACAAAAAGTCTGTCTACAGACAAAAAAGAAACAGTGAAGAATCGACAAAAAGTTGTTCTGTTGCTTAGCAAATAAGAAGAAGAAGAGAAAATCAAGAAAAGGGGAACAAGAATGCAAGAAAGGATGTTGGATTGCGTGAAGAGAGAGAGAAAGATTGAAACTTTACTGGTTACAAGAAGAATGACAAATTGTATACTCCTAGTCGTATATACTAATTAAAAGCCAAAAGGGGGTTCTATAAGTGGTGAGTTTGGGAAAAGGGAGAGGCCAAAAGACAGCAAAGACCAACAAGTGGGAGTTGGCTCATAATAATCAAGAGAGATGACCCACATTCAAATTTTTGAGGCACACACACAACTCTCTACTTAGTAGCATTTCCCATAAAATCAATGGTTGTACTATTTTTAAAACTATGGTATTCATATTAGCTTTCACTTTCCTACACCCACCTCAACTAACTTTCACTAATAGACTTTCGATTCATCAATTTTTTTTAACTATTTACATCCTTGAGTGTCAAATGAGTGTACTATTACCTTTTTTTTTATATTTGCATTGAAATTTAACTAATACAACAGATTTGGTATCCCAAGACTTAAGATAGTTGTACTATTACACTATCTTTTTTTTACTTGTTTTAGTACTCGATTAATATGAATAATACCGTAAAAACAATTGAATAAAAGAGAAGTAGTTCAATAAAGACTCTTTTTATTCAAAAAGAGTGAAGGAATCATATCCATATTACTACAATTCTATGTGATACCTACTTCATCCTATCCATTTTAGTTGTCATGGTTATTTGAAATAATTGTTTCAAAATATATACTTGTCATTTTAATTATTCAAGATAAATTTAGTGACATTTTTTCACGTTTAGTTTTAGAAATATTGATAACTAATACGGAACGAAGAGGGTAATAGACCATTTAGGTAGGATCCAAAACCAACTTTGCCTTCCATTCTCTCTCCCACAGAGACACATAGGGTGTTTGCTCCCTGCGCACGCACAACTGGAGTTGCCAATTCCAAGATGGAATATTATTATTAAAATAGTAACGTAAGCAATGTTTGAATTGGCTTAAAAAATAGATTTCAAAAATAAAAAATTAAATTGAAATGATTTTTAGGTTAAAAAAATAAAAAGTAGGAGGAGACCTACTTTTGATTTTTTACTTATTTATGTCATTTTTAACTTATTTTAACTCATTTTTGACATTGTCAAATATTTCCTAACTTATTTCAAGTCATTTTTAACTTTATTTAAGTTATTTTTTATATTTGTCAAAGACTTCTAAAAGTCAAAAACTTATTTAAAAATAAGTTTGACCAATTTTTAAGTCAATTTGAACACCATTTTATAACTTCGATGGATTATTTATCTCGTTACGCTTCCTAGTAAATCAGCATTTTTGGTATATTTTGTACTTCACGACAACCAATAGTGAAGGTGATTGAACATGAGATGTTCAATTTCAATCGAGATAAAAATATGAGGTGATTTTTTTTATGTGTTTGTATCTTAGTTAATTAAATCATCTGATACTTGTAAATGTGAGTACTACTTCCTCGGTTTTATTTTAACTGACTATGATACTTTCTTTTCAAAACCTAAATGGAATATTTAACTTTTCCATTTTTCAATTCTTGAATTTTAAATATGCTTCAAGAAATCAAGATATGCCTAGTCATCAAAAAGATTAGGGTTGGATATTTAAAAGAATATTATTAGTACCATTTATGTCTAAATATTATAAATGATTGTGATTCCAATAAAGTTTAAGAATAACAAAAGCAATACATTTAATTGTGCGTGTTGATATAGTTGAATGGAAGAATAGTCAGTAGTTCCACTACTAGAACCCTCTTCTACTTTTAGGCATTAATTAAAAATTAGATATAAGATCAATAACTTTTCTCACCTATTGGTTCTTAATTGACTTTTATATCACTCAAAATTTCCTCAAAAATGATAAATAAATGTGTCTCCTACTTTTCATAATATGATGAAAAAGGATAAAAATAATGGAGGAAAGAGACAATGAAAATGACTTTATTTTAATATTCCGTATATGTATTTTATATTAGAATTATAGAGATGACCTGTTGTTGGGTTATAGTATTATATGTGTATAGTGTGTGGTTGTGAATATCCCAAAATAATATAAAATGACAATTGATATCATATGTGGTGGCATGCACTTTTCAAAGGTGTCCTAGCTCCTTACGTGTCCTATTTCTTTTCGCTCGTTTGATTAATTTAAATTCGTATGGTGTAAAACTTCATTTTGGAGAAAGTCGTTCCATACTAATTCTTGCCCTTCTACTTCACTTTGCTAATTTATATTTTGATTGAAAATACTGAATTCAGTTAAATTCACAAAAAAATTCATATATATAATACTATATATAACGAAGTGTGGATCTGTTTGATACTTTCTCTTTCCTGTCTTTTTGTTGAAACTTTTTATAATATAATCGATATAGGTATTTTTTACATTATATAATTAGATTATAAAAGATTCAGACTTTTTTTTCCAGTGAGGTGCAGTCCATAATCCACAACTAACAATTCGTATTATTGGAATATACTTTGATTAAAAAAAACACTAGGTAATTATTTTTTATAGCGCTCCATTATTGAATCTTATAGTTCTTGATTATAATTTTTTTAAAAAAATATAGGTTGTATTCAAATTTTCAGTTTTAATATAATATATAAAACAAATTAGGTCAACCCTAATGTACATTGATTATCCTTATCTCGTCAGCAACTACTCAACTATACTGTATATCATTTCTTGGTGGGCCATGTTTTTGACCAACCACATGAACGCTTCTTTTTTTCATCTACACTTAATTATATTTTAATTAAAAAAATATATACCCATGGTATGATTAATTTAAATTTGTATTGTGTCGCTTAATAAAGAGAAAATTGAGTGTTTCGTGTCATTATAAGACTTAAATTCGAGATTCTTAATTAAGAATGAAAAAAATACATTTGATCCACCATAATGTTTGGTGACGTTAAAATAGAACTTACTAGTATCTCTTATTCGTATTACCTAACTATTAAAATTTATCTTTCTCTATATATGGTAAATAACTCATTTGATACTAAATTAATTGTAATAATAGTGGTAATGTGAAAAGAAAAGAAAACTAGTTGTAAATAATTTCTTAAATTTGTTAAACATCAAATATTTTAATATGTTAAAATAACTAATATGTAGGACTGAAAATTGTATTTCTAGAAATATGATAATGCACTATTCTTTTCGATTTGATTTTACAAAATGTATAAGTAATATAAAATGAGTGATTGTCTCTCTATCTCTTCAGATAGAAATAAAATTTACATATAATTTTTTAAATATATTTAATATATGTTGTTATTATTACTACATAAAATGAGTAATTGTTGGAGGTTTTGAGACTGACATAAGCAAAAGTTAAAGGTGAGGGAAATTATTTATTTAAAATTTAAATAGTAGGTGGAGTCTGACATGGTCATTGGCGGCCTTATTTGTCCAAACAATATATTCTTTTTTTCAAACATTATTTAATATTTATTAATTGTTCAATTTGTTTCTCTTCTTTCTTTATAAGAAGAAAAAAAACTAGGAGTATTTCTTTTCTTTCTATTTTTGGTTTTCAAATCAAATATATCCTCTGTTCGAGAAAAGTAAGATTGGAAGTTATAGGCTACAATTTGTAATTTCCATTGGACCATTTTTTGTTGGGCTTGTCCTTGCATCAGTCTCTTGTTTGGAAACTAAGAATATTTCATAATAAATTTAGTTATAATAATAATAATATTAACTTGAGATTGTTATAGTATGTAGCCTATACAAATTCATAAATTCTGAATACGTCTTTGTAAATAAATTATGATGCTGATATAACTTTAATGACAAATCAAACTATAATCACGCCTTAATCCCAAAATCTATTGTTATATAAATTTGAATTTACTCATCACTTATTTGTCCCATGTTCAAATTTCAAGATTGTAGTACGTACATTTGACTAACCAAAAAATATTTATTTATAATTCACAAACTATATTCTATAATTATTAGTTGCTCAATTGTTCTATTAAATAACTCTTTGACAAAAGGGCTTTATATATTCCCCCCATAAGACCTCAAAATTCTTGATATACTTTTTGTTTTCAAAATTAAAAGAACCGCCAAAGTGTTTCAAATCTAAACTTCATTATTCTTTCTAAGTTTTCATCTTGCATAGAAGAACACAACTATTGCAAACATTGAAATTTTAGTAGTATGCAATATCCCCTCTTCGCAATAAATAGGCCAAACCATTATGTTTTGATTCTTTTCCATGGGCGATACAAAAACTTACCTATTAACTTTTCAATTGAAATTTTAATATAGAAGAATATCTATTTCTTGACTAAGACCTCTTGCATCATTTTCTGGAAAAGATATTTTGATATTATATATCTTATATATCACCATAAGAGAGTTCGAATTGAGTAGTATTAACCATTCCATCATTCACACAAACCCTTCAATGACTTATCATCTCCCTTGCTTGAGAAATAGTTTCACAAAAATGAAGACATACCAGAAAAAAGAGAAATATTTGAAGTTCATTTGTTTCTTGGTGGCTAAAAAATAATAAAATTCTACCAGTACATCAAGGGTGCAAAGCTGGCTAAACACAGGAGGAGAACAACAATTGCTAGTTAACACCTCAATCTCAATCTCAACTAAATTAGGATGGCTATATGAACCCCTAACACCATCTGCTTTGCTCCATTCAAGCTAGTACGGAACAGGAGAGCAGGTAATAATACCCATGTAAGCTAAAATGCAAATCTAACATCCAAAACAGCAACAATCAATGAGCCATACAGATCCAAGAAGAGAGGCATTATAAATCTGGCAAAGGCATTTCCAACCATCCAACATACTCATACTCAAAAGAGTATACATAGCACCCCCAAGAGCATGACTTAGTCTCCCTTGAATGTCATTAACAAAATTAGCAGATAAGGTACTTATCAAATGACGAAATCAACTACAAATAGTTAGAACTACAACATAATGCATACTGTGCAACGGAATATCAAATCCTGATTAACCTAACAAATTGACAGTAACAAATACATTCCTTAGAGGTAGCTACACTGTCTAAGCGCATCTTCATCCTGTCACCAACAACTAACTCTGTCCTGAAACTTCCTTGATTTTAACGGTCTCCAGCCCTGAATAATGTTACACTCTGAGTTTAAGCACGGCCTTCATCTCTACAGCATCCTTCTTTATCAATTTTGGTGCATAGGATCTACCCCGGCCGGTCCTGCTAACTCTTCCAACTCTTGAAAT